GTGATGGTCTTGTCCTAATTTCAGAGTTGCAGCTATTGTAACCTTGAAAGAGACTCTGTAAAAGCAAAGTTCACCAGAAACTGCAGTTAATGTCCATGCAGTGCTTGGACAAGATACAAATTAAATAAAGTTGGAAGTTACAAGTGGGCATGTGTGAAGATTTGGAGGCAGCTGGCATTTCATTAAATTATCTCCGGTAAGAGAACCTGTGATTAACTTCAGATAATGAAAAACTGTAGCAAAACAGATGTCTCTGAACATTTCTACAGAAACCTTTCATATTTAAAAATCATTATTTGATAAAAAAGGTAACAGGAACTATTGCACAACTTGTTACAGGAACGTTTTGAAGCAGTTGCAAGTATATTGCAGAGTCACATCGCCAAGATCCAGGAGATGAAATTCAAAACCCTGTAGCGGTACGTACTGAAGAGCTAGGGAACAATGACGGTTTTAGCCAGCAGGAAAAGTTATTGAGAAAAAAACCAGAAAAGTACTGACCTTTAAAAAATTTTTATAAAGCAGGGAATATTTAAAAGTAAACAAGGCCTCCTGATCTCAAACAATTCGAGTATAACTGGCTTATGTCTGTGAACAAAGATTACAACTTTGATCATGCAAAAGCTTTCCCACTTACAACATTGTTAACGTTATTTAGCCCACTACATTTGCCACCAATATCACTTCCAGGAGCACTCCTGAGAAAGGGAATTTCACAAAACCACCCCAGACAAGTCCCTTAGTAACACACAAGCAGGTTTTGACCACACAGTAGGAGAAAAGAAAAAACATGAGCTGAAGAGTTTCCTCTAGCTCGGAGAACAGTGACATGGACATCCTACACATTTCCAATGTCAAAATGAGAAACAGCTTCAGACAATCTCAACTTCAGAATAAGATCTGTTGTTGTGCCTAAGTCAGGCTTAGAATGAGATGTATCAGGATCTATTACAAGTTCTATATATATACACACCAGATAGTCACATTCAAGTCAAGTCATTCTTATCAGAAATGATCCAACCCTAACATTCTAGAGTAGCTAATTCCAGATATTGCATTATTCTAAATATAGCCATTATCTACCGGTTAAATGTTTCTCTGACCTTATTAAAATGAAAATCAAGTTTTAATGCATTAATGATAAAATGGTCAAGAGAAGCAGACACAAATGTATTTCTGTAAGCCTCATCTTCAAACCTGGAAGTTACTTCCCTTATGCACTCTTAAGAATAGTTTCAGGAACATTGTTCAGACGTGACAAGCCATAGACTCTGCAAGTCACAGGAGCGTTAACTGTGGATAATGGCATTCAAAGTGCAAACAGCTGTTTTAATTTTTTGGGTGTCCAGAGATTTAGTAATTTCTCTATACCACCCTACAGCTCTTCACTTGTTCATGGCTTTCCATTAACAATGGAGAGAAAAGCACCAGTTTTATCTATTAATTCAGCAGGCAGACTGGAAAAAAAATAAAAAAAACAAGAATTCATTTCAGCAAAATATACACATGAACATCAGCAGACCTTTACCATTTCTGTAGTTACCCACAAACTGCAGTCTCAGTAACCAGTCTAAACCTAAAGAGGGAAATACTAGTGACTGGAAGCAACAAATCTTAGAAATCAAACTCCAGGAGTACAAAATATTAAGTTTTATTTAATCAAATTTAAGGCTTGAGAAAACAAAAATATACTGAAAGTCACTCAGAAAGCCACCTTGGAAGAAGAGACAGACCTCCCCTTCCACTGGCTAAACATTCAAGCTGCATAACCCACAGGTGGCAGGGGGAAGGAAGAGGAAAGGATGGAACGGGGAGACACACACAGCAATTCCATGTATAAGTCAATTGCCACATCAGCCTCAATGGACTGGAGGTACAAGTCTACCCACATGGCACTGTATGAGGGTCACCAAAACTGAAGACCCCTTGGGAAGAAGTATTCTGGTTTTCAAAGAGATGATCAAAGCGTCTTTGGTCACTGCACTTTTTTCAGTACTTATATTCAACCTCCTCTTCACATACAAGGAAACTGTCCAAATGCAGGTATATGCATTAAAAAAAAAAAAAAAAAGGCAGTGCACTGTCAAATATACCGACAAATAAATTACATTGCTTCACAGAAATAAATTGTGCTCATTTCTGAGAAATAAAAGTGATCACACTGAAAAATATACTTCTTTCAGTCTAGTTATTAAAGTCCAATCTCATATTTGACATCTTCATTAAAAAACATGTTTCCATTGTAGTGTTTGTGGAGTTGTTCCAAATGCAACCACTGAAATCTCAATATGAACAATTTATCAAACCCCTCTTTGTGAGATCATTGAATTGCTTCTCCGACGCTTTAAAGGCAGGCTCACACCCAACTACTTTTGCTGACAAGACTTTTTAAAATCATAACCTAAACCTTTAGCCATGAAGCCTGCAGGTCCACAGAGAAGGTGCTACATGTAACTAAGTGGTAAGAAAGTATTCCCATTCGAAGTCTGAAATTACACTAGCCACGTGTACCACCAATGGGGGTGAACTCCAAAACGTCTAGCGGTAAACCAGCCTAGAGCCTCAGGGTTTTAAAAGGGATACTGAATAAGCACAGAGAAGTTTATCCACAGTGAAAACAAATCACGCCATGAATTTAAAGATCCTCAAAATTACGTAGAACTTTCTCAAACTCATTTCCAAGTAACTGGAGCACTGACACAAAGCTCGTGTTAATATGGTCAAAGCCAGTAACAACAAACTGTGGAAAGACAATACTTCGATTAAATTCGGTTTTGCATACAAACAGTACTTCACGAAGAAACCAAGTACTCATTTGTCTTCAGGCAACTTGGCAATATTTGCAGACACTGGAATCCTGATCATGACACTGGCTTTTGTCAGCAGCTGATTTCAGCACAGGAACTCCACAGATATCTTTGACACCATGATGATTTTCATCAACTGCTGAAATTACTTCCCAGCACTAGGAGCTTCCTGTGTCGAAAAGCAGCAAAGGAAAAAGTACTCCCTGGATGCAATTTTCAATGCAATGTTTTACAAATAAAAAGGTACAAATAGAAAGCATCCTTCTCCAGTTTTACATACATCAGATTATTACACATAACCTTAACGAAGTTGGCCAATTAGGTGTTCTAAAGTTTCAAGCACCAGACTTTAAAGCAAAGGCTGCTGGACACTGCTTTGCTGCTTGCAAAACAGCAGTAACAGCAGCAAATTTTTGGCTGCTCCTAATGGACTAGATTAAACAAGCAATACAGACCTCGAATTCAAGGCTCTACAGAAGAAATGCCTCTTGTTCTTCCCTCAGTGATCTACTGCTATTGCTTCTTTGCTGTATATCAAAGCTAAAAAAAAACCCAGGGTGAACATCTAGCAATTTTACTTTCAGGTTTTCAGATGATTAAGAGCAGACTGTTCTCTGGTACTGTAAGGAAATCAGCCATCCTTAGACAAGCATCCTTTTCCTGTTGTCTCTCAATCACTGGCCAGAAAAAGAACTATGAAAGAACTGAAGTATGTACGAGAAGTACAGAGTTGTTTGTGAAGTGCTTCACAGATTAAAAGTTAGAAGGACGTCTAGACAATCAACAGACACAAAGATTCTTACTTGATCAGGTTTTGCCAGCGAAATGTTTGTTAATTTCTATTAATGCATTAATAGAAAAAAATATTTAAAATTTGGCTTCCTAAGCAAGCCATACACTTTGGAAAGACAAGTATTAAATCCTTCAGGCAGACTACATGTAGTAAAATATCATTATAAAAATACACACTTTTCTAAAATTTATGCTGTGTTAGGCACTGAAAATACACCTGCTCTCCCTGAAAAAAACTGGTGTCACTGGAAGTAGTAAACAATGTTAGTAAAAGTGATAGCTACATCCAAGAACTTCTCAGTCACATACTTCTACCTTAGAGCTAAAAACACTATGTCAAAGTCTTCTCAAGAAGACTAGAACTCTTGATGAACTACAGATCCATCTACTGAACCCCCCAAGAAGGAAAGACAGGAAGAAGAGTTTAGTTTTTTTCTGATAAAAAAAATTACTTCCGGAGGAGTAGTTCAGTTTGACACAAAAAAAGACTGAAGAAATCATTCTGGTTCATCATATTGTAACTGACATTTGAACCATATATTTGATACAAGCAAAACTGATGAAGCTTTACAGAAGATTTAAAAATTCAACAACTCTAATATTTCACTAAATGTGTATTTCCTCATTAAAAAACAGATTTCAGTAGGAATCAATGCTGAATTTAAATGTTTTTCATCAGTCCTGCTATTAGCAGTTAGGACTTGTGAAGATCAATATAGCAGTTGTGAGGAAAGGCAAAAACCCTCAACAGCTAGCACAGCATGCTTGCTACCTACTAAAACAAGCTGCATTTTGAAATTTCTGCAGACAGCACTTTTTAAAGATATTACTGATCAATAAAAAGCATTCTTAAAAGACTTTTTTTCTTCTATAAATAAAGAATATTTACATTTTTTTCAGACAGGAAACAGCATCAGGGATTCACCCCCCTTGCCTGAAATGGAGATTTCTAACATATAATGCTACAGATAGTCAGATTTTTTTCCCCTCTTGAGAAAAGGCTTGCATATGCAAAACAGCATGGGTTACTCAAGCTCTGATGCTGAGAACAAGTTCCTGCTCCTGAGACATCTACATTATTCCCAGCCAAACAAAATACTCCTACTTCCGCACAACTGAAAATCAATTAAAAAAACCCAGAATCTGTGGCTTTTTCCCAATTTCCAGTACCATGACGATTATGGTTGCTGAGTATCTTGCCAAAAAATGACTGCATAAGTCTACTGTAGAGATTAAAATGATTTCAAGATTCTGAAGAAATCAGCACACCTTCTGAAAAGATTACATTTTGAGACTGATGACAGTTGGGAGTGAAAAAAGAACAATCTTCATGATAATCCTTCAAGGAAAGGGTTTACCGCAGTTTCATGTCACTTGGTACAATCTTTAAAAAACAACGTCTTGTGAAATTCCATTTCTTCCTCAGATATCAATGCTGGTGCACGAATTACTTGTCTCATTAGAAAACAGTAGACAGGTGTATGTTCTGAGATTGTTTTTTTGTACTAGCTTCTAGCAAAAAGCATGAGCGGGATAAAATCCACATAAGGCTTTTAACAGGAGTATTTCATGGTCCACACATTTCTTTCACCTTGGTGTCCGACCAATAACCGTAAAATCCACTTTTTTGCAACAAGTGTCTGCTTTTGTATTCAGAAGGCATTACCTGCCTTTACAGCTTCAATATCTGAAATCAATGTCCTGGCTAGGAAAATCCCAAAAATCTAAAAAGACAAAAAACAAACCATTTATGAGATGAAACACTTGGAATGGACCGCTCTGCAAGACATTTCTAAAAATTAGACCCTATTACCATTAGTCAGTATTGCAGAATGGGAACTTACTTCTTCTGTGTTCCTATTACACTGTACTGATGTCAGTGCAACTACTCTTACAAATAAAGATACGCATTCATAAAGTGTTTGCAGGTTCCAATCTCATTTCATAGCCAGGATCATCCATCAAAGCACAGCTATTACTAAAAAGTAATAAAGGCAGCAGAATCTTGTAGGAAAAACTCATGAGAAAAAGAAGCTTTCATGTAATGCTTCAGAAGCATTCAAAATAACAAGCTTCTGGATTACCTAGAGCTTGAAGAAATCCACTTAGCCAAGTTTGAGCCTTACAACATACACTTAGCTATTACTGAAGTTATAAATCAGGCATTTTCACTCACTCCACAACTTTGGATAATCTAGTCAATTTTCTGGTCATACAACTACCTCTACCAAAATGAAATTCTTGTCACAAACAGTAATGAGAAAAGTCCCAGATTATTCTGAGACTTTAAATTTGAAATTTTAACACTCACTCAAATTCTTAGGTAAATCTTCATTTACAAATTGAAGATAAATTCATAACACTGCGTATTTTTTGAAACATTTTTAGAAAAACAACAAGAGACTGGGGTGAAGTTTTGGAAAAGCTGAAAGATCTATTTTAGAAGTAGTCAGGATATGTCTCTCAGTCCCACCACCAAATAGTTTAATGTACAAGACCGACCCAATTTAAAAATATGAGTGACTGTGAAAGTGATTTAACAGAGACCTGGGACACGAATAAGAACATTATCATCAAGTTATTGTCAGTCACCACACTGCCAAAAGATTAGACTTATTATCTTCAACATTTTCCTAACTGAAGGTGTTGTTCTCAGGACAGCATCTCTCAAAGCCATGGAAACACTATCATGACAGTGATAAAATACCAAAAACCAAGCAACAGAGGGCAGTACTGCCACAGCTGGGAAAGGTACTTTTCCAGCACTCTATGCTCAACTATTTTCACTTAAATGGAAAATACATTCTGTAGCAGATTTACAAGTTCGTTATTTCCCACTGAAATGAAGTAGTACCATAGCAAAGAAATTTAGTTAAGTGTAAACAACAACCACAGTGAAAGCAGGATCCACCTTGAAAGAAGTAATCTGGTATGTTTTACTGAGAATTTTGGTTCTTTTACTTTGATGTACCCAAGCACCAACAAGGTACTGGAAGAAATCACAGCAACTCCTTCACCTGGTTCTGCTAATATCACATTTGCAGCCTGTTCACCAATTTCCCTGCTCTTCTGTTCTCAACATTTGTTGAGCAGTATGCTACACACCACTTACAGCCAGCTGAGTGGTAATCTGAGCATGAAGGACAGAACCGTATTTTAGTCACTTCACATTTGTGATAGAAGGCTGTAGTTCAGATCTACTGGAGCAGATGACCAGAAGATCTCCCCTCCCTCACGGCATATTGAAGTGTAAGAAATATTATTGTATCACATTCTAATAATCACATATTATTATATTGCTATATTAATATATAACAATATACATCATAACCATCATGTACCATATGTATAATTGCACTATATTTTTATAGTGACTTTCATTGATCTGAGAAACAATTTCAACAGAATTAAATTAGACGATATCTGATATCTTCACTAACTCCCCATCCCTATAACTATTTTTTTGCCATATTATTCTCATATCTAAAAACATCCAGTGTCAAAACATTTATTCTACCTCC